ACAGCCTCCGGTTGGGAGGTATAATGGGATAACAATGGAGGCCTTGAGAAATCACCAGCTGAATCAGAATCAGAATCAAAATCAGTTTGGTTTTCAAAATCATCAAAGCCTTCAATTTGGGGTTTCGGATTTTTCTTGTAATAATAGATCGAGATTGTTCATGCCAAGGATTCAAAGCCGACGAAATGCTAGGGCTCCAAGGATGCGTTGGACTTCCTCTCTTCATGCTCGTTTCATTCGTGCTGTTGAGCTCCTTGGCGGCCATGAAAGTATTCTCTCATTCCATCTCCTTTTTTCTTTCTCCTCTCCATCTCGATCTCCGTTAACTATCAAACTATGGCTCGAATTTGATGACATTAGCCATATGTATCACAATAATTAGTGTCTTATCTACTTATTTATAGATCGAACCCCAATAAATTTGATTGTTTTTACACGATCAGGGGCAACTCCAAAGTCAGTGCTGGAGCTAATGGATGTGAAGGATCTCACTCTAGCTCATGTGAAGAGTCATTTACAGGTAATTTCATTGAAAACCCACAATTTATTTCAGGATTTTAATCGAAACCCACAACTTATTTCAGGATTTTAATTGAAACCCACAACTTATTTCAGGATTTTAATTGAAACCCACAACTTATTTCAGGATTTTAATCGAAACCCACAACTTATTTCAGGATTTTAATTAAAACCCACAACTTATTTTAGGATTTTAATTGAAACCCACAATTTATTTCAGGATTTTAATCGAAACCCATAATTTATTTCAGGATTTTAAACGAAACCCATTTGATATCTCTCCTTCTTCCCTGCAAAAAAGCTTCTTTTTTTTTTTTTTTTTGGTTCTCTCTTTCTCTCTCTATCTCAGTGAAGAGGAATCCCTGTGGCACAGTTACCAAAGAAGAGAGAAATGAATGAATGATTCAGAAGCTGAAGAAAGTCTGTATTTAGTTCACAAAACAGGACAATTTCTTGTTTTAGAGAGAGAAAGAAGAGAGAGAAAATGGCATCATTTCTCAATAATAGAACCATTTCCCCAAATTTACTTTCCACACCAAACAAAAACAATACAAATCCCCATTTCAAAGCCTCTACTTCACTTTATTTTAGAGTTCCATAATAACCAAATCATTTCATTTCACCTCTCATTTCCAAATGGGTCACTCAAAAAGTTTTGATCTTTAAATGTTTGGTAATTTTCATTATTCAGACACAAAACCACACATGTTTTTCTCTTTTGTTCTTAACCCTTTTCTTGTCTTCTTTTTCAGATGTATCGTACTGTTAAAAACACCGACAAACAAACAGCTTCTTCTGGTAACAAATTCCAAATCCTTACCAATCTCAAAACAAATTCTTCTTAACTCTTAATTAAACAACATAATGCTCATTTTCTAGGTTTCAAACAACCTAGGAAACATGTTTGCCTTAAAAATAATCATTAAAATTTGATGGGTTTTTTTTTTTTTTTTTTTTAATGGATGAACTATGAATCAGAAGGGTCTGGCGAAGAAGATTTCTTGCCTGCAACGCCAACCCCACACCATGAAGCGAGCTGTTTGCTCAATCATAGAAGAGGGTTTAGTGCATCTTTGGAGGCTGATGTTAATGGATCAGCACCTTCCATTAATAACCACTGTAACTCTTCAAGGTTAATAATCTCTCTCTTTCTCTCTCTACATTAATTTTTGTTGGTCTTTTATGTCTGTTGGGTTAGTACTATATGTTTTTTTTTATTGGGTTGGTAAAAAAAATTCAAATTTTCTATAAAGAGCTACCCTTTGTTGTAACAGCTTTACTTTCCCTCCTTTCCTTTTTTCTCTTACCACTTTTCTTTGAACCCCTTTGACTAAATATTGATGTTCGTTCATTATGTTTGTGATTTGTAAACAGTTCTGTGTTTGGTTTTTGTAAAAAGTTAGTGGGTAGCATGAAATTGTAGGTTTCCCAGCTCCTATAGGTTTAATGTATCCTTTTCAGTGTCATTTTCGAGCCTATAAGATAACCGTCCAAACTCAACGTTAGTACATATTGTCCGTTTTGACTGGTTACGTATCGTCGTCAGCCTTACGATTTTAAATCACGTCTGCTAGGGAGAGGTTTCTACACCCTTGTAAAAAAATGTTTCGTTTCTCTCTTCCACCGATGTGAGATCTCACCATCCACCCCCTTTGGGAGTTTGGCGTTCTCGCTGAAACATCACCCTATGTTTGACTTTATACCATTTATAATAGCTTAAGCCCACCACTAGAAGATATTATCCACTTCAACCCGTTTGCTGAACTCAACCAAAAATTAGTGTCTTAGCTACAGTGTCAATAACATCAACTAGCGGTGGGTTTGAATGGTTTCAGATCGTCCACCGTAACTCTACCAAAAATTAACTCATCTCGTAGAAGAAGTGGGTTTTTCTACCATGATAGGTTAAATTTTCACTTTAACCAGAAGTGCAGTCTTTTGCTAGGCCATTTCCTTTTAAATTAATGAATAATCAGCTTTAATATATAGTCTCACATGCTAGCATTACCCAAACAGAAAAGCATAGGTTAAGAAATTTGGATTTCATTTACTGTATACTTATAGTATAATATAATTATTGTATTCAAATGCTTCATTATCATCACATTAATTTAATGTTTCAGAAGAGCATGGGAGAAAGGCTCTCCAACAAGAGCTAATGTGTTTGGATCAGAAAATCAACCACAGGTATAAACTCTCTTTCAATAGTATATTTCATGTAATTTACTCGGTATATCATATGATAAGTCAAAGAAGCTCAATTAGAATCACTGTGCTAAGAACCACGAACCCCCACAATGGTATGATCTTATCCATTCTATGCATAACCTCTCATTCTCGTGGTTTTGCTTTGAGTAGTTTCACAAAAGACCTCGTACCAATGAAAATAGTGTTGTCGTGGGATTATGTCTCTCAATAACCCTAAACCGTTTAATTTTTTTTTTCCAGGAATGCTATGAATTAGGTCATTCGGGGTTGAATCTAAACGACAGTCCAAGCAAGGATTTGTGTTCGAGACACAATTGGGACAACTAAATCCAACCTTAAAACCTCATTTAATTTCTTTCAATATATATATATATATATATAAAGTTGAATATAAATATAAATATATTTATATATATTATGTATAGTTGTTGAATATGCAAATTAATTAATATATATATATATTTTTCCTCGTATAAAGCTGTTTCTGTTGTGAGTGATGTTTGTTTGAAAAAGGAAAAAGAATAAAATTTTAGTGGATTATGAGGAATATATGGAATTTGATGCTGTTTGTATTTAGCCAAAATTTTGTTTTTTTTTTTTTAATATTGTTTTTAATTACTCAATGCTATTATTTTTATTTTATTTATTTAATTGTTTTTTTTTTTTTTAATGATATCACATCTTATCAAAGTTATTTATATTGGATTCTGATTTATAGAGAAAGATTTATTTTGAGAAATGGTCGGGTATAGTTTTACTTTATTTGATCCCTTTTTAATAAATGGATTCATTTTACTTTTACCAAACCTTTTGTTTTCATTAAAATTAAACGCATAAATGTCCCATATAGTTTTCGAATAAATCGATCAAATTCTTTTAATTATCAAATTTTTTCAACACCCCTAACTTCGACCCATATTAATTTAATTTACTAATTATTAGTGGTTAATTTAAAATAGCTTTTTAAGAATATTCCTTTTAAATAAAATTAAAATTTTAAACATGTTTTATGAGTTTTTTATAATTATGAAATATATGAACAAAAAAGGTAACAATTTAAATCCACAGTAACAGATATTGTCAGTTTTAGCCCATTATGTATTGCCTATAGCCTCATGATTTTAACATCCCTATAACAAAATGTTTCATTTATCTCACAAGAAAAAAAAAATGATGTGGAACGAGGTCACTAACTTAGCTGAACAGAGTATCTATCATTCTTGTGACTGCTTTTCAAGAAAAATCACTTTTTTTTTTTATAGGAACTATTCTAATGTGAAACCATGACTTTAATCCTTCATTTTATTTTGTTCTCACTTCTTTATTGGCAAATTATGTCACAAACTTTGAATTTTGAACTCTAAAAAGCATTTTCAATACGAAATTTTTTGTTAAGAAAATACAATATTCCAACAAATAATTAAATAATAAATCTAACTTTTAAAATTCACAAACTTACTAAATATAAAAAGTTTAATAAACACATAATTCAAAACATATATTTTAAAATTTATTGATAAAATAAATATAAATATCAAACTTGAGACAATATTGTAAATTAAATTTTCTTTTGGAAAATTACCAGATATATGTATATATATATTATTTTAAAAAAGGAATGCTACACCGCATGCATTTATTTTCCCTTTAATATTAATTATTTTCCTTTAATATTAAAGGGAGTTTTCAGAAATTAAGAAAGTGGGGCAATAAAAATGAAGTAACCTGCACCAGGCATTGGCTAACACAACTTCATTTGTTTTTTCTGACAACCTTTATAAAGTGTATTTACTCATTTGCCCTCAAGGTTAATTCAATATTACAAAATTGACAAAAGTTCCTATCATTTCAGGCCCAGGCCCAACAATCGCAATCAAAACCAGGCCCAACATTCAATTCCATAAATTGCCACGCCTTTCGAGAACGTTATTGATATGTCCACGTCACAAAGTGCCTTATCTTATCCAAACCAACCAAACACAGGTGCAAAAACACGTCGCGTCTCTCTATACTCACACTCTAACATCAACAGCCAGACACGTGTCACAAAAGAAAACCCACCCCCACCAGGGAGCTTACACGTGGTACACACTATACCGAACTTTCAGGAAATCCACCGTCCGAATCATACAACCCAAAGAAAACGCCTTCCAACGCCGCATATTTGACACGTGTCACTTGATGAAAGCGACGCGTGGCACAAGTCACATCGTTCTCGAATTTTCGATTTATAATTGCAAATTTAGTTCGGGAATGTTCCTGGTTTTGGATGATTAGTCTCAAAGTTTCTTGTTTCTTCTACGTTTTTGTGGTGTAATTGTGAAATCAGGAGCCAAGAAGTCTCCAGAGAATTTGATTGGCTTGTTTTAGAGTTTTGTTCTATCTAAAGCAGAGGTTTAATTTGGGGGAAAACCTAAAATTAGGGACGATTCCCAAATTGGGCGATTTCTTTGGGCAAAATTGTTTCGGGTTTTTGGTGGTCGTTGTCGTTGTCGTTGCTGTTTCTGAATCTCTCGTTTCTCTGTTTAAGACTCTGAAACAGAGGGAGTAAAATTGAAACGAGTGAATATTTATTATTTTTATTGAGGGAAAGAGAGACGTGAGGGTTTTCCGGAGAGCTATGGAGCCGATTGTAAAGGGGAATCCCACAGTGTTATCGTCTTCGTCGTCGTCGTCTCTGATTTTGACCTCCGGTGCGAGTGGTCGAATAAACGCATTGTTGTCGATGCGAGCACTAAAGAGTCTGATTATGTTGGTTAATGCCTTCGTTTTGTTGTTGTTAGTGCCTTTCCGTGGCCGGAAGAGAGCGCAATCGATGGCGCTATCGGTGGCGGAAAAGCCGAGAGATGAAAAGCAAGAAAGGAAATGTGCGACGGTGCGGGTTCCGGCGACAATTGTCTCTTGGAAGAGCAGTAACAGCAGTAGTAGTAGTAGTAGTAATAATGGGAACTGTTCGTCGCCGACGCCTGATGCTGTGGATCAGGAGGTGGCGGTGAGAAGAGCTCTGGCAATACGGCGGGTGGTTGAGGATAAGGATAGATGTGAGAGTTCGATGCGGGAGTTTCTTCTCTTTCAATCCCCAAGAGGAAATATGATCTTCACCCAATCGTGGACGCCTGTTTCTCTTAAGATAAGGTTAGCAATTTAATGACCCTTTTAGAACATTAATTGATACATGATATGATTTATACACACAGAATATTGGTTTCTGGGATAGAAAAGTTATTTTGTCTAAGCTTGATTTGACAGAATTGTGAAGACCTTAGCTGCCCATCATATTTATTTGGGGTGGGGTGGGGTTGGGTTGGGTTGGGTTGGGTTGGGTTGGCCCGGGATTACAATATCGGGAAAGACAAGCTAACGTCAAAAAGGTAAGAAGTTTGAATGGCTCAATAGTTCCATTTGTTTTCGAACTTAAAAAAGAAGGGATAAAAGTGTACACTTGTGGGATTATTCTATCCAATATCACAACAATTCTGGTGAAATTTACATTACTACAGACAGTTACTATAGACTATTGGGGAGAGGGAAGAACGAAACATTTTTTATAAGATATGAAAACTTCTTTTGAATGGAAACTCGAAAGGGAAAGTACAAAGAGGACAATATCGACTAGTGGTGGACTTGTGCTGTTACAAATGGATTTGGCAAATCAGACATTGGAAAGTGTGCCAGCAAGGACGCTGAGCCCTCAAGGGGGATGGATTGTGAAATTCCACATTGGTTGGAGAGCGGAACGGAGTATTCTTTATAAGGGTGTAGAAACTTCTTTCTAATAAACGCATTTTAGAACTTTGAGGGGAAGTTTAGAAGGAAAAGCTCAAAGAGGAAGATATTTATTAGCGGTGGACTTGGGTTGTTACACTCGTTAACGTTTAAGAATGAATAATCACCGAAAATTTCTGGTGTGGCTAAAGAATATGAATACTATTGGGAGTTATTTGAAGCATGATTGTAATTAAGAAAATGCTTCTTGTTCTATAATTATTTGAAATGGTATTTATAAGCTGTAATAGTATTATGTCTTTTGTAGGGGTCTGGTGGTTCTCTTGCATGGCCTAAACGAACACAGGTTTGTTCCTTGTAACTTCAAATTACACGTTGCTTTGTTTGGACTATAATGCATGGAAATCACATGAAATCCTCTTTAATTGTTGTCGCAGCGGTCGATACAGCAACTTCGCCAAGCAACTAAATGCAAATGGCTACAAGGTTTTCGGCATGGATTGGATTGGTAAGTAGACATTTATACTTCAAATCTTTTACCACTTTATAACTCAAAAAGTTGATAGCTGAATTCATTTCTAGTGGTTTATAGATAGTTTAGTAGGGGATAAAAGAGGACACTGAGAGAAAGAACACGTTCCATGGACTCTGTGAGAGGCGTATTTGCCCGTACGGGCAAATATTCTTATCTATTGATCTATTTGATGTTCGAATTTAGAAGGGTTCTAAACATGGAAGTGAAAAAAGGATTGTATATTGTTGATACAATCTTGCTTTTTTCTTTTATAATTGCTGTTTCCTTAGTGTAGAGATTTCAGTTCTTCAACAATGCATCTATATTTGGATGTTGCAGGGTAAGGCATTTGGGATGCCGGTGCAAAAAACTTACATGTGAAGCTTCCTTTTATAGAGTAAGATTGTTATCTGATATGTAATTTTACTAGAAAAGGAGGAGAAGTTTTGGAAGATTGGTGGGGGACGCTTTGATAACTTTTCGATCAACACACGACCTCGAAAATTTTCACTTAAGAAAGCAACTTGACATGAACTAAAACTCCCCCCTGAAGCCCCTCTTCTCTTCCTGCTTTGTGGCTGCTTTTCTTCATCACATTCATAGATCTTGGCTGGTTATGATGTATGACGTCTATTGAAATTCTTCGCTTCGTTTATAGGCCATGGCGGGAGCGACGGATTGCATGCTTATGTTCATTCTCTTGATGATGCTGTTTCTGATTTGGTATGTGTTTTGAGTGTCATCATTTACTACTTTTGTGTATTTTTTTTTTATTGTTTGGACAGTGAATGTGATGATCGTTTTTGTTGGAAAACATTGCAGAAATCATATCTTCAGAAGATTTTGGCTGATAATCCGGGTCTACCTTGTTTCTTGTTTGGACACTCCACAGGAGGAGCCATTGTTCTTAAGGTATCATGTGCGAGTAAAGAATGGTGTGGTTACGGATATTGTATGTTCTGCTTCTAAATCGGTTTGTTTATTTGTTCAGGCAATGCTCGACCCGAGTATCAGTTCTTGCATATCAGGAGTTGTACTCACATCGCCTGCAGTTGGAGTTCAACCATCTCATCCCATCTATGCAGTGAGTGAATCTCTTTCTCTTAAATCTGGTTTCCTTTGCTACGAGAGTTTCCTTTGTTAAGCTCTAGTTATTATTGTTTTATGAACTAGACGGTTGAGTAGAGGGAGATTGAATCCAAGATGAGCTTTTAGTATTTATCTGTAGTTGGTGTGAGATCTAACGTCAGTTAGAGGAACAAAACACTCTTTGTAAGCGTGTGGAAACCTCTCTCTAGCAGACGCGTTTTAAAACCTTGAGGGCAGTTCAGAAGTGAAAGTCCAAAGAAGACAATATCTGCTAGCGATAGACTTGGACTATTACAAATGGTATTAGAGCTAGACATCGGACGAGTGCTAGTAAGGACGTTGAGCCCCAAAGGAGGGTGAATTATGAGATCCCACATCGGTTGGAGAGGGGAACAAAACACTCTTTATAAGAGTGTGGAGACTTCTCCTAACAGCGTTTTGAAACCTTGAGAGGAAACCTAGAAAGGAAGTCCAATGAGGACAATATCGGTTAGTGATGGGATTGGGTTGTTACAATTGTATCAGAGCCAAACACCGAGATGAGTGCCAGCGATAGACACTTGGCTCTGAAGGGGGGTGAATTGTGAGATCCCACGTCAGTTGGAGAGGGGAACAAAACACTCTTTATAAGGGTATGGAAAACTCTCCCTAACATACGCGTCTTAAAACCTCAAGGGAAAGGCCACTAGAGAAGGCTCAAAGAGAACAATATCGTTTAGTTTTGGGTTTGAACTGTTACAGTTGGGTTCCCCATTTAGGAGCTTCTTTAGTGAACTTAGAAATTGTCTGTGTCAACATCTTAAAATAAAGGGATGCATCATTTCTCTACGCTCTTGTCTGGTTGTAGGTTCTTGCACCCATAGTCTCATTGTTATTGCCGACGCTCCCAGTTGGTTCGGCGAACAAGACGACACTGCCGGTGAGCAGAGACCCAGATGCATTGGTGGCTAAATATTCCGATCCTCTAGTCTACACCGGAGCGATCCGGGTGAGAACCGGTTATGAGATTCTGAAGGTCTCATCTTTTCTGCAGCAGAATTTGAGCAAAATATGCATCCCATTCCTAGTTCTCCACGGGACGGCCGATGAAGTAACCGACCCAACAGCTTCCCTGAAACTTTACAACGAAGCTTCGTCGACCGACAAATCGATTAGATTGCTCGAAGGTCTGCTACACGATCTCCTGTTTGAACCAGAAAGAGAGAGCATTATGAATGACATAATTGAGTGGATAAATTGTAGAGTGTAAAATGGAAGGTTTTTGAATTGGGAGGAGTGTGTACGGCATAATTGAGTGAAGAAATGTTAAGCATTTCTTCTTGTTTCACGTCGATTATGTTAAAGTTCATCAGCTTGATGAATTGTTTATAAGGGAACATCTGTGGGCTGTTCTTCCCAGTCCGCCTCCTTCATTGTTTATCTCAGGAGGTTTGCCTTCCATTTTTGTGCCATCAATGTATTATGAGTATGGAAATCAGTCCAGTTCTTTCCTTCCTTTTTGTATCAAACTCGTTTCGTCCTAAATTATCATACAAAAGGACTGTGCTTCTTTCCTTCCCTTCTTCCTTTTCTTTTTCTTTCTTTTTGGTTTGCACTCAAGGCGTGCGCTTTAATTTGCCAAGACATGAGTTCACGAACCGAATAGAGATAATAATCGAGCCAAATAGAGATATAATCGAGGTTAGCCATAGATACAGTGTCATAGCCTAGTCCATCTCTAGCAAATGTTGTCTTCTTTTAGCTTTCTGTTTTGAATTTTTCCTCAAAGTTTTTAAACCTCTTCTAGGAAGAGGTTTTTGTACTCTTATAAATAATGTTTCGTCTTCACTGGCACTTGATTCCTTCTCCAATCGATATAGAATTCCACAATTCACTCCCTTCAGGGCCTAGCGTACATCGCCTCTTGTCCACCTTTTTGGGGCTCAGTCTCTTCGCTAGCACATCGCTGGGTGTCTAGGTTTGATACCATTTGTAGCAGTCCAAGCCCACAGCTAGCCGTCCGAACCCCAAGTTTTTAAAACGTATTCACTTGAGAGAGATTTTCATCGATGTGAGATCCTCGATTTGGATTGTATTTCTAAATGCTACAAGAATTTTAATGAAACAAAGAATGGAATTGGAGGATCAAAGTAAAATACAAAATGGCAGAGAACAATGGAGAGACTTTCACTTTCTCGTTCTGGGTTGCTAGTTTAGTTTGCGATCATAAGTGTATTTTAACGGGTTAGAACTCGACTTTATGCAAGGTTAGAGATACGAACCTTTGTTCATATACTTTAGATCAATTACTGAAGGAGAATCACTAACGGTGAAAGAGTCCTAAGTAGTAGAAGGGTGGAAGAAAACAAGACATTTGGAAAGACTCACGATAAAATATGAATTGAAGTCATGTAGATAGTGCTCTCGCCAAAATGAATACTTTAGAGTTTAATGATTGTCAAAGTAGATCGAACAATCAATCTTTGAAATAATAATCGGTGTCTTATCTACTGGAAAATCTAACTCACCAAAAAAGAAACTTCTCGGAGCTAGTCGGCATCGGATTGTTCTATTATTTTGTCAAAAACCCTAATCTTTACCATCATAATTCTTTTGAGGAATGATTCCTCAAATGGGAAAAACATGCTTTCTTTCATTGGTTATCATTCACCTTGAGCTGTACTATATGCTTTCTTCCAGTGATTGGGGAGACCTCCAATCCCACCACCAATCTACCCAAAAGCTCATGCAAAGACCCATCGTCAACTATCCAATGCTTCAGCTGTACTCCAAGTCGAGCGTTAAACATGTAAGTTGAACGTTGTTCTAAGAGAATTAAACAAAAGAAAAACAAGTTCTAGTAGAAACACGTTAGAAAGATCAAGAAATAAGTTACATGACTTGACTAGTCATTCAAACAGATAGATTTTTCTCAATCTTTTCGACGCATAGGAACAAGTAAAAAACAAACGTCGTGATGAGCAAAGAATGAGACGGGGTCCTTCAATGTCATCTCATACAAATCGACGAATCCAAGTTTTGTTTTTTTTTTTTTTTTTTTTTTTTTGTTATGGAAGATCGGTTTTGTTTCTCCTATGTTTCTCGTCGGTTTTTAAATAATTGACTCGGTCGTGGTCGTGGTCTTGGTCTCATTTTACTTGACTCGAACCCGGGAAGAATTTGGTTGGTGGTCCAAAGGGTATGTGAATTACAAGCTGGAAAGGGTGTGTTATTTTAGAGTTACTAAGTGTTGTGCTGTCTTGTCTTTAGGATAATTGGGACATGTTTTTTTTTCAATGTTTTTTTTCAATGTAATCATCATTCAGAAAACAGAGTTAAATCATATTGCTTTTTGTCTCAGTTTGCTCCTCTCCTTGGATTCCACCCTCTCATCCATTTCTCCTTGATTTTGGGGTTTGGAGAATCTTTATTTATTTATTTATTTATTTTTAATTATTTCTTTTAATGCTTCCTAGTAGGATTTTGGAATAAAGTCACCCAACTGTAAAATAAACCAAAAATTAAATTAAACTAATCAACTTTTAGATGATAATTAATGTGGTTTAAAAATATTAGGGTTTACTTGCTTAACCAAGAAGCATATGTTTGGAGTGGTGTGAAAGTCTAAATATTTGTTAAAAGGGTTGACTTATTTAAAAGAAAAAAAATTATAAAATAAGAACATTTAAACGTATTTACGTTTTGAAATGTTTATAAAAAGTCAAATAGTAATATTGCAAATTTTATAAGAATAATGAATTAATAATCTGAAAAAAGAAAAATGTTCGGGAATGTTAAACTTTCCATAACGTTTTAATAGTTGTTCTATCTCAAGTGCCGTTTCAAAACATTTATAAGTGTCAAGAGTAACATTATAACTTTTGAAAAAATAGTAGATTTTCAAAAGTTGACTTTTTATTCAAGGACGTTTTTCCAATTTCAGTTTAGTTTTGAAATAATTATGAAATGTCAAAATTAATATTACAACTTTCAAAACAAAACAATAGCAGATAGTCTTTAAAACAATAACATCAAACACGTTGACTTTTCTACTCCAAATGCATCTCTAAAAAAGTCAACATTGATATTGCAACTTTGGAAGGAATAGTAAATCTAAGTCTCTAAAACATTGACATCAAACACATTGTCTTTTCAAAAGCAAGTCTTAATAGAGCAACGGTCATTATTTATGGACTCAAACTTAAGTGACCTATCTAGGACAAGGATGAAGCTCAAGTAAAACTAAAAAGAGGTCCAAACTAACTAATATCAAAGAATCAATAAATGAGTTGTGCTCCACCGTAAAATACTGCTCGAACCCAGACCTAACTAGTTTTCCTCGAAATACATCAAACCATAACAATTGACTAGACATCTAAAGATAAAACACTATTTAAACGCAAGTCACAAGAACGATACCAAATTGAGGCAAACTCTAAATACTAGATATCATCTCAAAATAACCGGGACACCCGAAAAAAACAAGGTGAAGTCCACAAATATCCTTTATAATTTAACCTTAATAGAAGAAGGAGAGAGATAGAGAGAGAGAATATGATTTGACAGCATATGAGTGAGGGGATGGGCGTTGCTTGTTGGAGGGAGACGAGTGGAAGTGTTGTGAGAGTGACAAGTGAGTCCATGATTAACTCACTTTGGCCCCATCCCACAGTGGCACTGAAAAACATGCCACTTTTTCCCTTTGTATTTATTTGTAAAAGTAAAGTAAAGTAAGCCAACCCCTTCTCCTCTCCTCTCCTCTTCTCTTCTCTTCTCTCCTCTCTGCCCATTCTTTACTTCTATACTGAAACCCACATCATTTCTTGACACGGGTTTTGTTTGAATTTTTCTTTTTGAGCTTTCTCTCAAATCTTTAAAACGTGTCTATTATAAGAAAGTCCAATGTGAGACATCGTGCACAGATAAAACCCTTTCAAAATCATCAAAACTTCATATAAAAAACTAAAATTTTCCTTTTTTCTTCGTTTTAAACAACAATAATACACATTCAAATTGTTGGGAATGGCTCAAAATGTTGCCTACAAACTTGACAAGTGATTTGAAGAATGGTGGAGTTGATTTGCTTCATGGCATGTTCTTTCAAAGCAAGAGCTCGTTGTAGCTCACCTTGTGCTTCTTGTCTCATTCTCTTCGCATTGGCTAACTCTTTTTCAGCTATTTCAATTTGCTTCTTTGCTTCGTTTCTTGCTTCTTCAGCTATAGCTTTCTCTTCCATTGCTACTCTCATTTGCTCTTTAGCTTCCTCTTTTACCTTAAAAAAATCCAACCCATTTCCTGTTTTCTCGTCGTGATCGTCGTCCCCATCGTCGTTTTTCTCATCGTAATTGCACGAACCAATCGAAAGCTGTAAATGGGTCGAGTAATTTTCGCGTCGTTTCGGCGAAACGGATAAGTGAATGGAAGTTGAATTGTTGGAGAGTTGAAGTTCCAAGTTTTGTGGATGGTGAGTAATGATCCTTTGGGGAATTATTGTATGGTTTTTGTTGAAGAAGCTGAAATTTGTATCTGAAGAAGGGCTTGGAGTTGGACTTGAAGCTGTTCTTGATAAACATGGAAGCTTTTGTTCTGATTGTTGATGATGATGACCCAATTTGCAGCTATCTTGATGTTCTATGAAGCTCTCCACCCTAAAATTAAACCAAAAAAAAAAATGAAGAACAAAGCTAAGATCCAAAAAAGTGTATAGAAATTAGACAAATTTGGAAGGTTTTAGGTTTTTGAAACCCCAAAAGAGGCAAAAAATTTTGAAAATCATGAAAACCCATTTGAATTCAAGAAATTAAATCAAAATCAAAACAACCCATCATCAAAAAATTGAATCTTTTTGTGAAGAACTTGTTAAGAACATGAACAAGTACATAATTTAATAACATTATTAACTATGGGACCAATAAAAAAAATAAAAATACCAAAAAAAAATCGCTGTCCTGACAAAGATTTATACTGATTCTCGTTGAGAGATAAAAAAAACCAAGAACTGATCATCGGAAAATGAGCCAAATTGCGACACAAAAAGCTGATTATAAAAACTTGAGCTGTTTACGATGATGAATGTTTGTATATTTCAGTCAGAAAACATCAGCAGCCATTAATAGAAATGGAAATGCAAGATACTCTACTAGCTCGCTAGCTCGCTAGCTCGAGTTGGTACGATCAAATCATCGCTCCATTCAAAAGCTTAAACCGATAGAATAACGTATAAATACCTTGAGAAAACCCGACCACAATCGCAGGAATGGCCTCGAGTTCCACATGTTTTTAGATGAGCTTTGTAATCGGATTGAACAGCATAGCCTTTAGAGCATTTCTCACAAACCCATTGCTTATGGTTACTATGTTTTCTTCTAAAGTGTTTCTTTATTCCCACCAAATCCCCCAAAGCATGAGTAGGGTTATGGTGTAAACAGCTCGGTTCGGGGCAGACGAAGACTCGTTTTCTAACCGCGGTTGTCGGCTCGGTTCTCTTCAAGAGCTTCCACGGCACCTTGTGTCGACGTCGATGCATTTGTAGATTTTGATCTCTTTGAAACCCTTGATTACAGATCTCGCAAACG